CCCCGGGGGGCTGCGCGGGGTCCCGGGGGGCTGCACGGGGCGGCTGGGGGGCTGCGTGGGGCTGCATGGGGTGGCAGGGGGCTGCGCAGGGCACCTCGGGGGGCTGCGCGGGGTCCCCGGGGGGCTGTGCGGGATGGCAGCACCCCTGGGATACAGGAGCGCCGGGCGCAGGAGCCGCGCGGTGGCAGAGCCACAGCCACCTCGCCGGGCGCCCGCGCCGCTCACGCCGCCGTCCCCGCTGCAGCTTGTGTTCGTGTTCAGCCTGGTGGTCCACGGCACCAGCTACCGCTCCATGACCGCCATGGCAAAGCCGTCGTTCACAGAGGAGGGCAGCCTCGCCGACGGGGGCATCGACCTCAATATGGAACAGGGGATGGCAGAGTGAGTGTCCGCACCCGCACGAGTCCAGGTGAGCAGGCCCCGCTGCTGCCTGAGTGTGCAGGGAGACGGGAGGAAGCCAGACGCGCTGCGCACGGCCCAGCTGCCGCCCATGCACGGGCAGGAGGAGCTGCAGGCGCTCTCGTTACGGTTAAAGGCATTCCAGCCTTAACTATGTGTTTTTTTTTCCAAGACTGCACCTAACTTCTCCTTACCCGAAGGCCTGGCCTGGAGTGTGCTAGCAGTGAGCCGCCGTGTGACCGCGTTAGCCGGGAGTGCTCACGCTCCTTAGGGATTTACTCAGTAAACACATAGAGGACCACAAGCAGTTCAGCTGGAGCAGCTGAAGACTTTCCATTGAAAAAGCAGCACTGACCCTGTACCCACTGCTGCACACATGGTGTTTTTTTTTTATTATTATTTCTTTTTTAGGTCACTACTGCAGGTAGCGTTTGACAGACCAGAAGTACACCCCCTGCCAGTTACTCCATCTCAGTTAATTCAGTTGTTTTCACACCAAAACCTCCCTGTTGTCTTAACTCAGCTCACCTGCTTATCTTTTGTCTTCTACACTTGCGTGCTATCCAGTTCTCTCTCCAGATAGTGCAAATTGTTTGCACTTGTTATGAGTAGGTTGACCTGTGCGGCACAGAAACTACTTTTGTCTCTGTACAGGATAAAGTCCCACCTGCTGTGGTTTTTATTGTTTTGTGTTTTGGCGTAAGAGAGTTTTCTGTGTACGAGATCCAGTCACAGGGAGAAGGTGGTCAAAAAGAAAAGAAATTGCTTATTCCTAGTGTGGCATGTGAGCTATTTGTTTCTCACCCTGTTTGCCCTGTAATAATAACTTTTTTTTTTCTGCTTGTCAGCATAGTGTTTTTCTTCTGTCTTCTTTTATCTGCTGCCCTCTCTTTGGTCTCTCCTGATTTATTCTAGAAGCATAAAGTATTTTGCAGACTTTTGCTCGTTGAAGACACGGTATGGGGCATTTGAGTAAGGAAAGCAACCTGATGTCACGCAGGAGAAGCTGTTGGGATGTATAAGGCACTGGCGCAAACTGGGTGCCGCTGCTAACTCATCCATGGACGAGTGAGGTGACGCTGTCAGTGGAAATGACTGACACATTTGAACCTAGGATTCTGTTGACCTGTTGTGAGAAGGTGACCAGTGTGGCTGTAGCTGCAGAAATCTTGCTCATAAGTCCTGGGGCCACAAAAGTATTTCTGTCCAAGCACTACACACTAGGCCTGATCTTTCTGGTAGATGAAAATCAACTCTTGTTGCTCTGAAGAAAAGAGCAGGGGCTGTGGAAAATATAGTGCAGCACAGAGGCTGCAGAAACACGAAGTGCACTCCTGAATTTACTGTTCTTGCCCTGTTTTGGTGCGTGCAAGCCTTTTCAGAGCCTTGGGAGCGCAAGTCACTCATTATTTTACCCCTTTGATTTGAGCGTGGTGGGTATACAGCTGCTACCTGCTAAATGGACATTCAGTGCTCCTGCCACTGTGTCCATTTATTACTCAAGATTGGTGCTCCATCAAATGGGGAACTAAGCTAGAGCTTATGTTCAGAAAGCGATGAGAAGCGTGCTGACGTTTTCTGGGTGTTTGACTGGAGGTTTGCCTGTGCTACAGGCTCTGCTTTTGAAACTGCTGATTCAAAGGTGTTTCCCTTATGTCTGGGGCTGTACATTGCTCCAGGATTGAGGAAGGCTGATCTTACAGTGTAGGGATTTGCTGGTCTCTTTGAAAAGTTGGGTTCAGTGGGAGCTCTAAATGGCTGACCCTCGGTATCCCAGAGCTGCTGATGGTAAATTCTGCAGTGTCCCGAGTGCTTGATGTGCTGGTGATATTCTACTCTAAACAGTTGATTCTGGTGCTGTCTAATCTCATGCTTGGCACTGTGCTGCTCAGAATGAGACAGGCTAACTCATTACCATTGCTTTCTTAACTCTCTACTTGGTTATGTCTCGAGTGCTTTTTACTCCAACAGATAATGATCTAGTGGGAGTGAAGGAGTTGGTGTTTTTCTAACCCATCCCCTCATGGCACTGTGTGGCTTGTGTGGAAGAGCAGATTGCTGCCTGTGTGTTCAATCCGACATATTCTCCCGCACACATATTCTTCTCCCCCAGGAGGGCAGTATTGGAGATGTGGGCAGCTCGTCCCTGCCCGTGGCTGCTGTCTCAGCTGTGGAATGGGAAATCCCAGCGCTGGCTGAGCAGGCGTAGGAGCCGTGTTGCTGTGGCTCAGCGTGTGGATGATGGTGTGTTTGTCCTTACAGCACCCCATTTGGTGACAGTAGGCACAGCTGAGTGTGTCTGTCTGCAGAAGAACTAGCGGTCAGCGCGTGAAATGGCACAGTGGAGAGTCTTGCTTTCCCCTAGTGCAGCCAGCCACCAGCATGTGAGCGACTATGTTTTATGCCCCAATATTGTACTAACAAACAGGTGCCTGCTCTCGCTGCAGGCTGCTGGGAGGTTGGTTTCCTTGCTGATATTCCCCTCGCATTCCTCAGACTTCTCAGTGTCCCCTTTGGGTGGGAGGTTGTACTTCCCGGTGCCAAAGAGGGCTAGACTTGTTGGATCTTGATGTTATTGCTATACTTGCTACGTGAGTTAATCCAGAAACAAAATGGGCATAGTATTAGGGACGGATCCTTTGCCTGGGACCAGGCAGGGTTATTTCCCGAAGTGCAGCAGGGGCTGGAACTAAGAGTTGCTGCTTTTCCTCCCTCAGGCACCTCAAGGATGTGATCCTGCTGACAGCTATCGTCCAGGTGCTGAGCTGCTTCTCCTTCTACGTCTGGTACTTCTGGCTCTTGGTAAAGCCTGCAGCTTTCCCTGTTGCTCTAAGTTGTCTCTGTCTTTCCTTGTTTGCAGAACTGAGGACCTCCTTTTTTCGATCCCTTTAATTTCTCCATATCTTGTTTTAGGCCACAGCTGATTTCTGTTAAATTGTGTATTCTCCCCATCATATCTTGTTAAAAATGAGACCGTAATACAAGGGAAAGGGGATCTATGAGCACTCTGGGTAGACCTTATAGTTAACCATGCTGGTCATGACCTTTCTCTCTAGTTGTGTGGAAGGGCAACAGAAAACATGCAGTAGATTATCTGTGCAGAGCTGCTTTTGATGTCTTTTGGTGACAGTCTCATAAACAGACTGTGTCTCTTCATGTTTCATCTTCATACTTGCTCACCTGCACCAACTGAGGTTGGGAACTGCTGCACATTCTACCATTCCGTAGATCAAACGCTGCAGGTTTTGATGCCATTAAAATACCAGACACTTTTAACTCCTGAAACATTTGTCTAGCTAAAAGAGCTTTTGCAAAAGGATTAAAAATCTTTTTTTACAATCAATTAGAGAAAAAAAAAACCAAAATGCAGTTTCCTTGAGTATATCTCGTGAACATGTATAAGGCAGCCTTAGTGGCAAGACATTTTGTTGCTGCCCTTACTCAAAGTTCTTTTTGTGCTGATCTTGGCAGAGGGCAGCCTGGATTGTGACTATCCCAGATGCTGCGTGGATCATGTTCTTTCAAAGCAATATTTCCCTTCCTGTGGGAGGGAGAGGCTGGATGTCTGCGAGGCTGGATCTTTCTGGGTAATTCAGAACTGATGCTGGGATTTCCATGCATTAAGCCTAAGTGCTGTGCTTCCAGAGACATATGCAAGTTCATAAATTCCATGAAATCAGGCCATTTATTTTGGCTGCCTGCCACTGCCTTTGATTTCAGAGCATCTTACAGTGCCCCTGATCCAGTCCGCAGACTTTTGCCAGCTCCCTTGCCTTCCGGTACAGGAGCCTCCCTCCTGCCCCTAGTGCTGCCCCTGCCCAGAGCTGCATCCCCAGTGACCGTTGGTGTCCCGTGTGTTTCGCAGGCTCCGGGCCGCGCGCTCTACCTCCTGTGGGTGAACATCCTGGGGCCCTGGTTTACAGCAGACTCTTCGCCGGCCAGCCAGGAGGCCAACGAGAAGAAGCAGCGGCGACAAGAGCGCCGTCAGATGAAGCGCTTCTAACCCGGGCTGGGGAGATGGATTTGATGCTGTCTCTCATCTCCATGCTGTTCATCAGGGATGCAACTGAAGCCAATCAGAAACCATCGCAGTATCTGTGTTGCCCTGTCATTGCTGCCATTTCACTCTAAAGGCTGCAAGAGCCTTCCCTTGGTTGGTTCTTAGTGCCAGTCGAGGCCTTGCTCCTTGTGATGACAAGGGTAGGTTATGCTGGGATGTGTGTAAATACCTTTTTAAAGCAGTGCTGTATTGCATTCAGGGTTGGGGATTGCAATGTTGGAGGAAATACTATATTAAAGAGCAGTCTAATTCACCTCACTGGTGGTGTGTTTGTGTTAGGGGGGAGAGGGGGTGGACTTGCAGAGGATAAGCTGTTCTTAACATATCCCTGGAGGGCCAGACCAGCTGAAGGTTAAAGCCCCAAGAGATCTTGTCTCTTAGCTCACTCTCGGCCACAATGTCCATTCCCTGCTGAGTACAGAGGGTAGCAGACGAGAGTACCCGAGCTGAAACAGGACTTTGTCTTGCAGATCCTTCCCCTTGCAGCCATCCGGCCCTCTGCTTTCAGCTACTTTGACTTACTAACATTAGCTCTGCCTTTGCTAAACCTTGCTTTGCAGGCTCCAGTAACCCCTCGCCCCTCCTGACTCGGCGCTGTAGAGACCTGCAGCTGCATGGTAACAGTGTTAATAGTGGCACCAGTCTGGCCATCTGTAGTCAGCGTACTTATCGCCCACAGGTAGTTTCCGTTACATAGCTTTATTACACATATTTCCTAACATCCAAGCCCAGTTCCCATCCTGAATCTTCCTGTGCCTCGGTGCCAGGCAGAGCCGCTCTGGGAGGTAGGAGCGGGTGGAGCGGCGGGGATGAGGACGCATAGGCGGGAGGGCATGATGGAGCCGTGGGTGAGGGGGGAGCCTCCCGCGCGGGGCCAGGCGAGCCCGGCTCCATGGCAGGCTCGCTACCCCTGTCTCCTGGCCCCGAATGCAGCCAGAGCCTCTGCAGGGAACACCCCGCCTTCCTCCAAGCTCCTCCATCTTCTTCCTCCTGTGCCCAGCCCTGCACAGCCCTCCTGTGCCCGCTCTGGGTCCAGTGCGGCTCCCCTGCTCTGCCCTCATCCCTCTGAACCGTCTTAACGTGCTTTCTCCTGAAATAAACCTCCACAGCCACGGAGCAGTTGGGCTGCCCCGGCACACACAGGAACCAGGCAGTCAGGGGCAGGCCTACCCACAACAACCACAGCGGCCTTCTCGGCCGAGCTACCCTACACAGCGTTACATGCACGTTGGCCCCTGCCCTGCGAAAGGGACCGAGGCCTAAGCCGTGCCGCCTCCTCCAGGCGAGGACTGGCTCAACAGCCTCAATAAATACCAAATAAATAGAGTCTGAGCCCAGCAAGGCCTGGGTCTGGCGGCCAGGAGCCGCTCAGTCCGGCAGCAGCTGCTCCAGCTCCTTCTCATTCAGCCTGTTGGTGGTGACGATGTGGTCCAGCTGCTTCATGTACTGCTCCAGGTCCTGCATGAAATGGGGGATGCGCGTCTTTTCCAAGACCCCAAATTTCTTCAGGCGATTCACATCTTCGTAAGAGACCTGGTGGGAAGCAGGGGGATGAGTCAGGCCCAAACCTGCAAGCTGCAAGAAGGAGGGGCAGGGGAGGGGAGGTCTCATATCCACTGCTCCCTCCAACACATCCACCCCACACATTCTTGCCCTCCGTGCTGTAGATGCTCCTTCTGGCCTGGGGGGAGAGGGTGCCGGGGTTGTGTGTGGGGAAGACAGGGGGCATCGTGGATTTGCAGGGATTGGTTTGTGGCCTTTCCATCACTCCAAGCTCCTGCTGTCCAGCCACACTTCAAACTCAATCGTTCCTCATTATCTGGAGACCCGTAAGTGGAAGTAAATGTAAAAGGCTTAATGTGTTTCAGGCAAAGCTTAATCTCCATTTCAGAGAGGTGAAAGAAGTAGCACGTGAAATGGTCACAAAAATTGCAGCACCTACTAGGAAAGGGAGATGCAGGTGGCCCATCAGCATGCCCTCGATGGCAGTTGAGGCTCAGGCTGGATTTTGGAGGGAAAAAAAAAAAGTCACAGAATCATGGGGAAAAAGAAAAGAAAAATCATCCATCAAGGCAAAGCTGCCTGCAGTGCGCTGAGCCAGGACATGCCCCTGGGAAACGCATCCGCAAAGGAGCTGCGTTAGGCCGCTGTGGTCGAGCTTTGGGAAAGCACGTGATGGGGCAGCAGGTGGGGAGCTACAGCTCAATTTGGGGGGAGGGCAGAGTGAGTGTGTGCTGGGGCTCTTATCCAAGCTGTTTGGGGAGCTATGTGGCTAATAGGTGGCAAGGCTGCCTCAAATCCACCGTGCGTCCCTGCTGCTGCTGCAAATGAGTCTGCATGTGGGAAGAGCCACGTTTGGCTTCCCACCAACAGCAAGCCCAGCCACCAGCCTGGCTCACAGCCCCACGTGTGGCCTCCTGGCCCAGGAGATGTCCCCTTTCCCAGTGTGGGGCTAGACCCCACAGACCCCAGCTATGGCAGTTGCCCCAGGTAAAGCCTTTTACCTTTCCAAGTGCAGCCAGCAATGGAAAGTCAATGGTCTGACGATGTCTCAGGATCCGGAGAATCCCATCCAGGTACACCTGATCCTTACTGAAACAGCCTGGGAGGGAGGGAGGCAAAGGGGAGTGTGATGTGACTTAGGATGCTGAACTGGTGTGAAACAGGTGTGCCAGGGCCCACACATCGTTGGGTACCATGACTAGTGCTTGCCAGGGCACTTCTAGCATGGAAAACAGAGAAACCAGAAGGGAAAACAAAGGATGAGACCTCTAGTGAACTGAGCTGAAGAGGAGTACATGGGATCACCAGGGAACTAAGCAAACGGAAGAGGTAAATGGAAGGATATCCGTCATGGGCAAAGAAGATGAAAAAGTCAACAGAGAAAGAAGTCAAAGCTCAGGTTGGCCCAGGTGATATCTGAAGGAGGGACTGAACCTGCATCTCTCCGCTGGTGTATGAAGAGTTCCCCAGGAACAGAGTTATGCTCCTCAGAGTGATGGGACCGAGAAAGGAAAAGGCCCAAAGGACAAGCACACTCAGCCTTGCCAGTCAGTGCTGGGCAGATGTACAGGCTGCTATGATATGCAGTGGGTGTCAGATCTGCAAAAGGCCTTGGGTGCCAGGCAGTGTCCCACCACAAGGGGTGAACAAGCTTTGGCACTATTACTATTTCTTCTGTTATTTTTATTTTTATTTTTATTTTTATTTTTATTTTTATTTCTATTTCTATTTCTATTTTCATTTTTATACTCATTTTTACTTTTATTCTTTTTTAATATCAAACCATTGAAAAAATATAAACACAAATGTTTAGCTCATCTCACCTCTTCTCTGGCTGCTCACCTCCCCGTGAACTACTCTCTATACTCTACTCAAGTCACAGAATCACATGCGTGAAATGGAGGAGCCAGAGAGCAGTGATGCTGCTGGACCATACGTAAAATTTGGGGAGTTGCTGTTGTAAATATATCACTTATGAGATGTAAATCACACGAAGTGGAGCAGGCAATGAGGAGGTGTCGGGGAGAGGGGAGAGCAGTGCTGCTGCTTTGCAGCCAATGTGGTGGTGCGTCTCCACCATGCAACACCTCCCAAATCCCCTCCCAAATCCCTGCTTTCCCTGCATACATCTTTACCGGGCTGAGAGGTGTCCGTCTGGCCCCGCTTTGCGCGCACGCAGTACTCCCACCGCACGCCAGCGTCCTGGACGTACTGCTCCAGGTCCTGGAAGAGGGCAGAGAAGGAGAGGCGGCTGGCCTGGTGGATGGTGTAGTAGAGCAGGGCTGCTCGCCACAGGAAGGGCTGCTTGCGGAAGAGGACGCTGTGCAGGCTCGCCAGCCCCTCCTCGGTGGGGTTGGCAGGCTTTAGGCTGTACTGCTTGCGGCCCTCAGAGCTGTGCCAGGGCTGGTGGGTGTTGTTAACCCCACGGATGTAGTGGGTACCTGGCAGGACAAGGGCGAGAGCTGTCAGATCCACCTCTCTCAGTCCCCGTGCTGGCACCCACCCACGGGTGCCTCAGCCCTGCTTTGCTGCTGGAGCATTTCTGCCGCTGCAGCATTTCTGTAGCATCCTCTCCTGCACCGGGGCAGCCGGGGGAAGGGGGTGTCTCCACTGGGGCATCCCCAGGCTCATGGTGGGCATGAAGCAGCCCTTCGCTGCTGGAGCTGCACGGCAGGGCCATGTGCTCAAGCAGGCAGGTGCCTTTCTGCCTTGCTTCCACAGAGGGATCCCAGGGCCAGCTGGACTTTGCCACCTTCAGATCCTGCCTGCAGTGTCACGGCCCAGGAGGACACTTCTGGAAGACCTCCTTGCCACAAGACATTACTAGCAGGAGCAGTTTGTAGGGCCTCGAAAGGAAACTGGACAAACGCATGGGAAACAGAGCCATGGAATCACCAAATACCAGGAACCACAGCGAGCTCAGGGAGCCAACAAACAGAAAACAGCTGGGGTCTGACGGAGAAGGTAGGGAAGTGACATCTCTGCTTGCTCTGTGCTCCCTGCTGCGGGCGAGATCTTCACAGCCACCCTGCTGCCGTGCAGCCCCCTCTGGCCCCTGCAGCCCCGAGCCCCACTGCTCTGCTCCAGGCCCTCTCTTGCAGCAAGGCCATTGCGCGGGTGGCTGTTGCAGCATCCTTGGCCACCCGTCCCTGCCTTGTTGTGCTGGGACCCATCAGCTGCACACCCATCAGTGCAGCGTCCCCGGCCCTGCTGACCTATCTCGTGGCGCAGCATCCCCTCCAGCCAGTACTGCCGGGCTCCGGAGAGGTTGATGGCCAGCGTGGGCCGGCTGTCCTCCACCATCATCACGGCCTGGGACAGGAGGTCGTCGGTGAGTTGCACCACCACCTGCAGAGGAGGAGAAGGAAGGCAAGTGGCGTCAGCACGTGCGGCTGCAGGGAACGCGCCGCAGAGCCCCGCCAAGCAGATGCCAGCGGAGAGGCTCGCTACCAACACACACAGCACTGTGCTGCGCAGCTCCAGAGCAGCTGCGCTCTCTTGGACTCTTGTTATAGCTCATCAAAGGAGTGTGTGAGGAATATATGGCTTTTTAATGCAAAAACAGGACAGTGCAGGAGGCAGGTGTCCTGAGCCTCGGTCTATGCTGAGCCTTTCAGCAAGTCTTGATCATTCCCTCCCTTGAGCAGTCCTCCCTGGCATGTTTCCAAGGGCCTTTGGGAAATGGTTCAAGCTGTTCTTCAAAAGGTTGGTATGACCAAAGAAGCTTCCAACTCAGAGTGCATTCTGAGCACCACAGCTGCAATGGCTGTAGGAAGGGCGGGCTGTGAAGTGGGGAGGCATTTCGAGAAATCTTACCACTGCTTTTCTGTTACCGAGAGGAAAGAGATCCCCCGGCCATGCTGCGCTGTGCACTCCCATCCCCTTCTGCCTCCATCACCCTGCCTCGCTGCCACAGCAAGGAAAAGGACTTTTCCAAAGCTCCAGGTCCCTCAAACCTCAGTTACCCTTTGGCACCTGCCTAAGGAGTCGGTCCCAATCCTCCAGGTTGTGTTTCTGAGACCTGAGAGCTTGTGGGATCAAGGGCCAGATGCAACTTTCTGTCTTTCCAATGGGATGCATCAGCAAATGAGGGAGCCTGCTCTGCCCCCATCTCCTTTCCCCTCTGGGGACCACAACAGCACTCACACATCCAGGTGGGAGCCCAGCTGCTTTCCTTTCCACGGGGCTCTGTGGGATTTTGCAGCCACCCACAGTGGGAAGCGCCCCACAAACACAGACCCAGCCTGCAAAGCCCCTCAAGGGGCTGCAGGGGTTGCAAGCAGCAGTCACAGCTAAAATGCCATTTTTTCCCTTGTGCGCTTCTCTTGCTCCCGTAAGGACACTGCTGCTTGGTGCCAGTGTGTGTGTTCTTCAGTGCAGAATTGGTGACCCCTCCTGACAGCCTCTGGGCCCCTGGGGCCCCAATCGCTTTTATAGGGAGCACGGGACAAGAAAGGCTGACAGCTTGTGCATCTCCACTATCAGGCTATCAGTTCTCACATGATGCTCAGCAGGCAAAACGAGTTTTCTTCTATGACAGCTTTGGAAATGTGTATCTCCTAGCTGCAAAATCATGTTCAGTTCGGATGCTCAGCTGAGACACTACCGGCACAGCCCTCAGGGCTAACTTCAACTGCTTACATCTTATCTCCACTTCTCCCACGGCATCACAGAGACTTCTACCTTGCGTACAGTTACTTTCTGTGAACATCTGTGCCCAAAGAGGTAAGTTACAAGTTCCCAGACCTCTCCGTTCCCACTCCTGCTGCCAAGGGTCAGTTGTCAAACCCTATCTTCAGGGGTGACCGGGTCTAAAAGGTTTCCACCTTCCCAGCCCTCAAATTCTGCAAGCCACAACAGCCTAGTCCTTTGTAAAGCAGCGCTGCAAATTTGGTCACTAAAACCATCTACAAAAACCGAACCTGCTTCTGGAGGACCCTTCGTAAGTTAGTTTGGTGGCATGAATCCAGCAAAGCCTCGCAAAAAAATGGGCCGTCCCTCTAAACACGTAGCAAGCCACAGCTTGAAAGTGGAACAAGCCATGAGACTTGCACTGCTTTGGCACCAAAGGAAAAAAAGATTGCAAAGCTGCTGACTCTACATTACCCAGACTCTACCCAGACTCTGAATTACTGCCTTCTCAAGCCACGTTGTGGGCACTTGGCTCTTGCATGCAAAGGCACTAAATAGGTCTCCTTGTGCTGACACTGAGCACATGGTCGAGATAAAACAGGACTTTGCTTGCAACTAAATCACAGTGTTGTGAAGCCCGGACATGGGGATCCTCTCTCCTTTTAATTCCTTTGCTCCTTCTGCCAGTGGAAAACAGCCTGACCCAGCAACCAAGTTGGTACAGAGAAGGGGAGAGCTGAAGGGTAAGGGATTTTGCAGGAGTCATGCAAAGAGATCAGGGAATAAACCCACAGAAGCAGCTGGGAGAGAAGCTACACAAAATAACAAGGTAGTCAGGCCAAGATAGCATCATGCTGTATACATAAGACAGCAGATTACAAGTGCATAAAGAGCATTAGCATTCCCTAGTGCAGCATTCCCAGCGCTCAGGTGAAGGGTGTCCAGTGTGATGCTGTGCCAAACAACGCAAAAAGAGCATTACAGCCAACCCCTTCGTTTTATCCCCTCCTCTCCGAAGGTCTGCACACAAGCCTACCGCATCCTGCACTGTCAAGGAATTCCTTCTTTCACACATTGCTTTACCTGTTTTCTTTGTTGCAGGACCAAACTGTAAAGTTCCCATAAAACATACTCCGCGAAGAAACCAACCCTCTGGCTCCATTTACACATCTCCTATCCCCGCTTCATAGTTTTCCCTTTAAAGAGCAGTAAGGACTGATCCAGGACAGCAGACACCAGCAGCAAGGGCCGAGCTGTGCCCGCCATGTGCACTGTAGCCAGTCTTTCTCCCTGTGCATTTGCTGGCTGTGATTCACAGCAGGGAGATAAGGACACACAATTTGCTCTCTGTACTAGCTAACCCCTTTATATAGGGACCAGCAGCTGTTTGGGGCAATCAGGTCATTGCGCATGACCTGTAGCAGAAGCGGTTACTCAGGTAGCAGAACAGCTACTTAAACACACTCCTGCAGCTCGCATCCAGGTAGATGCTTGTGTGAGCCCAACTCCTGAGAATGGGTTGGGAACCTCCCCAAACAAATCCCGTTCACCTGAGTATATGAGGAGAAATTAATATACCAATAACATTCTTCCAAAACATGGTGAGAAGGCTGTTTGGAAGAAAAAAAAACATAAATCAGAGACAAGCGTGCTATCAGCAAAATAATTTATTGACAATTCAAATTCTCAGTGACTTGAAAGACACTCCAATGCATGAGGAAACAGAAGTCAAATAGATTTGACAAGCCGGATAAACCCAAAGTCCCCCTGTCCCACACTGTATCCCCAAAGGCAGATGTTGCCTTGGTTGTCATATGCAAGCTTTGGCAGCAGCAGAAATGCTTGGGACATTTTGGCATTTAGCATTTTCATCTTAAAATCTTTCCACTCATGAATTCTGCAGAAATCCACCTTCTCTCTGCCATTTCCAAGCCTGAAAAGCAGCAATCTGACAACATTGCACTCCTGGGAAAGAACTGCCTTTCCCTAGCCCCAGGGTGGCAGCAGGGAATCCACCAAGAGCCAAACGCCAGGGTGCTACCAACAACCTGCAAGCAAACACTGCAGCACCTACCATGTTCCACACCTACTAATGACCTCCTGTCATTCTTGCAGATGAGGTAGAAATCAGTTCCAAGGTTTTGTGTTCACTGAATGAGGGACAACGCCAGGGAATCCGAGGCATTGAGGCACATCCTGAATGACCACAGGACTTCCCAACAGCAGTTCTACCAACAGCCCCAGAGAGAACATGCTCTGTGGGTAATGGCATTCGGGCTAACGTCTCGCATGTTGTTGTTGTTGTCGTCGTCAAACTGCTGGAATAACACAAATTGATGCACACATTCTTACTACTACAGTAGATTTTTTTTTTTTTAGAATAAAGAAGGAGCAGAGACGGATTTTTTTTAACACAGATTTATTCTTGTGTCTGATTGTCAGCTAAAGCCAGAAGTGCAGAGCAGAACCCACTACTGGGCAAATTAAGAGCATAAAAAGACTACTAACTTTACTACAGCAAAAGATAATCCCTCTAACTCAAGCAGTGAAAAAAAATGATAATCTCTTTTCAACCTGTGTACATCCAATGAGCTTTATTGCTGTTCGACTTAGCAACTGAAAATAAAGTAGTGCTGCACTTTCCTTGCCCTCTCCTGCATGCGACCAGGCCACACAGATCCCATCTCAGGACGCTGCTTAGGCACAAGTCTGGACTTAGGAGTTTTCCCCCCTCAATACGACTTTCTTCATCCCTCACTACTGACACTAACAGCTGCAAAACTTCCCAAGTGAGAGGCTGCAGTGTCCACATTTCCGCAAGCAGCCTGGATCAACACAAGCATAAGCAGCAAGAGAAGTAATGTCTTTTGCTTCTGCTCCTTCACCCATCTGTGTGAACACTTGTGCAGCAGAGCAACGAAATGGGGCAGGAAAGTGATCCAAACTAAAAGTGGTTCTGTTCTCTAGCTGAGTTTTCAGCAAGACCACCATGTGGCCACATGAGCTCCCACAATGGCACAGGCTCTGCTATGGAAGAAGGAAGGGCACATTTAATAACCCTTCTGGCATCCAGGCTTCTGCTTAGAGCCTGGGCATACAGCAGGCAGGAAATGTCACAGACTCCTCATAATTGGAAATTAAGGAGGTATATATGGACTAAGCATGGTCATTTTTTACTTTCAAAGGCTTACCTTTGCAATTGTTTGTGCTATTTTAACTTTTTCTACTCTCTTACATGAGTTCTATGCAACAGGAGTACAATCTTGTCATCTTGTCATTGCAATCCCAACTATAACTAGCTGAGGTTCAAATGCTGGGAAGCGGAGACGGAGGACAGAGTTAAAACAAACAAAACCAACCAACCAGTTGCACAGATAAGGAGGACATTTCACTGTGCCAGCGCTTCTCTCGCTCCCTTGAAGACACTGCTGTTTGGTGCTGGTGTCTGCATTCTTCAGCACAGAACTGCTGCCTAAACTCCTGACAATCCCTGGTCTGCAGACCTTTGATGTTTGATCTACAGCTTTTATAAGGACTGAACAGGACAAACTCTGACAACTTGTGGATCTCCATTGTCAGGACCCCAGTCACCCCGTGATGCTCAGCCGGCAGGGAGTGGACATCGTGCTCTCTTGTCACTCTTGTTTGACCTATATGGGGGGGAGGGGGAAAAAAAAAAAAAAGGCTGGAATTTAGGATACTAGATCTTGGATAGTTACAGGAAAACTCTTTTTACTCTCATTCTTAAGATATGTTTTCTCTAAGTCTATATGCCTATGTACACATAGCACAAATATAAAAAGTATATATAGTGCATATATTTTCTACTACTGTTTTTCACTTTCAGATTGCACGTTCTTGACCACACTATGCTGAATTCTTTAAGGTGTGACTCGCAAGTGACATGAACTCTGATGTTTCCACGTCTCCTCTACGTTCTGTCCCAGTCAAAACTGCTGTACTGGGATCATCCCAACTTGTGGCTTTTGGGAGGCTGGTGCTCCTGTGGTACCTCCTGAACAGCTCAAGTTTCCCCCACGCATTTCCAAAATCTAACCCTGAGTGTGACTCTGGAACGAGGACCCACACAAGTGCTGGAGCTATTATATTACCCCAGCAGCTAAACAACTGAGACAGTTATACAGATAAATAACCTGTGATGTTTCGATGCCACCCATCTCTCCTTTCTGCATTATTTCCTTAATTTAGCACTGAGAGGGGATATCCAGGCTTCGTGACACGTTAAAAATCTGTCCAACACACGACAATTTCGTTTTCCTCTGCAGTATGGGGAATGCTGTGTCTTATAACCTAGCACCGAGGCTACTGTGACTCGTGCTGGCTGCTCCTTTCCTTCTGTTTAGGCACTGCCAAATCCTGCCTCAGTGGTGCTGCTGCCCTGCAAGGCTGGCTGCCAAGGAAGCAGAAATACTGGCCGCGTCATGGAAGGAAGCCACTCCAAAATCACTGTCATCACCTTGTGGCGTGGAGGGAGCATAATGGAGATACGTGCTATGCTGAAGAATCTTACTGGTAGGGATGTAGAGAGCTCCTTATTCAACCGAAATGTTTGCTGGAAAAATCACTTTTTTTTTCCCCCGTCCTTCCCAGTGTGGGACAGTTCACTCTTGGACAACTGAACCACATCTACTGCTTCACGTCTTAGACTTGCCCTTGCAGATACACAGTTTATCTTAAGGACGCTGTCTGCATTTCAACAGATTATCAGGACAGAAGATGCTGCCTCTGGACTCACATCCACAGAGGTGAAAAGATCCTCCCCTTTTCATTACCAGCAAGGAATATTTGCAGTACTCTGGCTCTAAAAGAATAGTTGTTCCTCATTTTTTTTCCCTAATTAATGCTACAGTACAAGTCAATCATGACCACGTTTTAGCATTCCTATCAGTTCAATATTTGAGGGCCTGGGGAAAATACTTTATGTGTTAAGTACAAAGTAGACATCACGCTCAGACAGCACAGGACTTCAATGACAAAAGCCACTGCAGCAGCGATAGCGACACAAGGCCAGAAAAAGAGAAGAGGAGGCTAAAATGCACCAAAAGAATCCAGTCAAATTGTGGTGATGTCAGAGACCGAGGGGCACATTGTCTGCCCATCTTCAGTATCATGCCTGATAAACAGGAACCAGACTGGACAGTTCCAAGACAATTGTTTCATTTCCCTCTTCATAGCACGCTGCCATTTATATGGTGAATAAAGGGAAGTAGAGCAAACAGCCAGTAAGAGGCAGCTAACAATGTGTTCAACTGAAAACAGGTCCTGCTGTTCAAGAGCAAAGGCACCTTTCAGGCAAGCGAGTGAGAACTAAAACGAAGGATGAAGGATTCCTTGGAATGCTGTTTGGAGAAAGATCCAAGAACACAGAAGTATCTGTCTGCATGGACATGCTGGGACACTGCTCATGGCTGAACACAGAGGAAAAGGGGCAGTGTAAGTGGTAACCTCACTAGTTTTTTTTGTTCACAAATTAAGGAAAATCTCAAGCAAGAACATTTCAAAATCTTTAGAGGAAGAATCCAGGTCACACAGAAATTTTTTCTCTCTCATGGTGAAGAAAAGGAAAACAAGAGAAGGCAATCTTGAACTCAGTCATGAAATGGAAACTATTTCTGGTACAGCTTATATCAAATGAAATGATTAGGAAGGAGGTTCACAGCAACCACATAGAAGTAAACTATGGAACTTGCTGCAGTCCAAACTTTGGTAGATACTAACAGAATAAAAAATTATCAAGAGTTTTTGCACACAAACACCACTAAGGATTCAGGAAGTAACTGAACTGAACTAACTGTAGAGTATGTCAGGCAGGAATTATGACCCACTTTCCTTGCTCCTTTTTGTCCCAAGGACAGGCTATTCTTATGGACAGACACTGGCACAGAGAGACAGGACTGACCAGCAGTTAATGCCCTCATGATTTTTACTGTGGTTGCAAAGCATTGCTTCTTCCCTTCTCTCTGCACCTCCCTTCTCCGCCAAGCAAAGCCTGAATTAAGGCAGGACAATAATGAAGTTATTCTTATAGATGGTGAAAAGAGAAACAGGATAAAGCATAAAGAGCCATGTGTTTCTGTTCTTCTCTAAACGTCACGTGCTCTCCCTGTTCCCATTCTCCTCTATACGCCACAAAACACCATGGGGAAAGCAATGAAGGTCGCCAAGGAAGGAGGAGGAAGAAAGAAATCAGAGTTGGGCAAAGACACAAAAGAAGAGAGGGAAAAGAAACAGATCCACTTGAAGACTGCAAAACAGGATTAATTTTCAGTCAGAAAGAATGAGAAACCCTGCAACCGCATCACCCTGCAGTACAGCCCACATGTGAGAGTTGGCAATATTGTCTCAAGGAAGCACACAAGGCAGCTGGGTGACTTCCACTTTACTGCTTTGTCCTTCAGAAGATTCAAGAACTGCTCTGTGAGAGGCAAACTAGTTGAGTGCAAGTGAGGCCTGAGCCAGATGGGAATAGAAAAATGAACCTTTTTGAAAAGAATTGTGTGGAACGCTGTCCAGGAATCTGGGAATCTGTAAAGCTTCACGGGAGACGGCAGGCTGTGCATTCATATTACACTGCCCAGAACATTTTCCTGTATTCAGCAAACCAAGCAGTCAAATCTGAGGCTTTCATTCAAGCTCAGTCTAGTTCCAACTGCTTCACAATACACTTGGGGCAGCCTCTAGCATCTTAGATATTGAAACACAGGTCCTCCCCATAGCCCAAACTTGAGGTAGAATAATGAAGTACAGAATTGAAGGGAGAAGAAAATGCATTTTCTAAGACTGTCTACTGCTGTCTAAGTGATGAAGTTAGCTCTGCACAGTAATCGCATCATATAGTTGATATGCTTGATGAGTATTATTAGTTGTCTTAAGAATCACAAGACTCCAGTTCACTCTGCTACAGATGCACCGAGGCCCTCGACAGGCACTGCTGGAACAGGGTCTTAAGGCTTCATCCAAAGTCTTACTTCTGGAGCAGCAACTCCAGGTCTCCAGATTTGTGATTTTTTTTATTTCTAAGGGGATTCAGAGCTAAGGTCTGAAATTAAGGCATCACACCAGCCTGCCCAACCAACCATTCCTATCCACCAAGCTGTCTGCTCAGTTTGTGAATGTAACAGCAGGGAAGAGCCTGTCCCCAGGAATGCAGTGCAGAAGTGAGAGGGTTTGTGGCTGGCCACAGCATCGGGGCAAAAGCTCCTGCTTTTCCCCAACTTCAACAATATTGACACCAGGTGGCCCATTTGCTTTGTGCCTTGCCCAGCAACAGGCTCCGGGCACTTGGAAACTCCGGGGCGCAGGGGCAAGGCCAACACTGCTAAAATCTACAGAGTTCTGCCTAATGTAGACTAATGACACGGCCTAACCCCACGGATTATGGATTATTAACTACACGATACTCACCAATACACACAGAATGCAGCTGGGAGATCCATGGATATTGTAAGCAGGCATCTGAGCTCTGGCTGCATCACCTCAGTCCTGAGGCAGAACAGAACCAGAACAATTTCAGTATCTGCAGCTTGAACCACATCAAAGAAACTTTTGAGTACTCAAAGTTAATGATAGTGCAAGTACTTACCCATGAGCATGCTCCCTGGGGTGCTGGAAAGTGGTATCCTGCCTTCACAGATCAGCACCATCCCTTCACACCTCAAGTGCCAGGGATGAAGGTAGGGGGACAAATGGGAGCAATCTGCCTTTGCATGAACCTGGCAAGCAACGACGCCACTGGCTCTGCAGGCAGCTCAGGCATCGGAGCAAGAGCTGACTCCTATTCTACCAACACCCAAGTTACAGTCTTTCCTTGTAGTTTTTTTCCTGATAGTTTTGCAGAAACTACACTAGATGCTGCACAAATACTCATGCTGGGACTTTACTTGGGTCAGATGGCTCTATCCTGGCATCCCGAGACGTGTTAGTAGTGAAGCAGCACAAATTTCAACCTGGACAACATTTCTTGCTGTCCCACAGATGTTACTGAATGCAATTTCAAGATATAAAATCCCACTGTGAGATGGAAGGGAGCCTGCCCAGAGGAAGCAGAAGCAATGTCTGTATATCTTAAAATGCCCTCACAAATGCCAGAACTTAGTGACAAGCTTTTGACCAGGTTGCCTCCAGCTACAGGCTACAAATGGGCAACCTGTAGTGGACTCAAGTGCTAGAGTTTCGTTTGAGTTTCTTTCTCCTTTTCTTTCTATTTTTATTTTTTTTTAAATAAAAAGAGACCCATCATGATCAATATGAAACACAAAAGCAACAACAGAAGCAAACAGCATTCCAGAAGGCACAGGGAAGCTGGGTACTGTGGATAAAAGTCAGTTACAGACACAGGCAAACGGGAGGGAAGGTAGATAGGCGGACAGATGTCTCAATGAAAACCACCCTGCTCCAGACAAGGCATTACAAATAATGCAGAAATGGCAGAATATATTGCAAGTTTCTATCCTGTGCTGGGATCAGAGTTGGACGATATTACTGCATCACAGACATTTCCCCTCTTTGATTCCCCAGAGAACTCCCAACAAAGCCTGTAACGGGGGGGAGTCTGCAAACCAATGCTTACATGGTTTTAAAAGCACTTACCAAACGTTAGGGATAAAAATAGCCATATCTTGCACTCATACGCATAAGCAATAATTGAACACTTAGTTCCCTTAAACAAAGGGAAAACTCCATGGGGCTGGAAGACAGCTAGTTCTACACTAACATTAAGAAAACATGACCAAGCAACACAGATCAACTTGTTTTAAATTACTGGAAAAGAGCAGATTAGCTGAACTTAATCATTTAATAAAAGCAAGGAGTGGAACAACTAGCGAGTCAGCATATGTTCACAGATTCTTGTGAAGACATTGTTTTTGGTAAAAGCATATAGCTGGTTGCTAAGTAATCCCTGCAAGGCAATGCAAGTCCTATAGATTTTAAACGCATAACTCCTTCGTTTGCTTTTTAAAAAAGGACAACTAGCCAGTACCAATCTAGCATATACAAAACAGGACTCACTAGCTGCCAGGCTGGATATTGGGACTAAGAGGCAGCTAAGTAAGTATTTATTAAGTGGAAGAGCTTAGAGAAACTCTCACAGATGAAAATGCTGAGAAAGACCAAGCAAATCCAAACTCCAGGCATACATCTGCAGAGGACTCACGGCAAGGTAATGCAAGCTGTAAGTGCACTTTCCTCCTCTGCCCCGTATTGCTTCTGGGAACTGCTCACTTTGGCTTTTGTGGGTATGAAATTTCAGGTTAGTGCTGCATGCCAAGAACCTTAACTTCACTGAAGAACTTGTGAATTAGCCTATTTGGGGATGGGGTGGAAATGAGAGGTAAGGAAACAGTCTGACCAAGAGGTAGTGATGAGGGAACCCCCTTCACAACCTAGCACTTCTGTCTGTTAATTGTGCGTCCTACGGGGCTACAGTCAACAGTAAAAGACAACCCTGCAAGGAAAAGCAGGAGGAGGTCCAGAAATTTTTATGATCATTTGGATCTGGGACAGAGAAAGTGTTTTGCACAGATCCTGCAGTGTGGAAATAAATAAAAAACCACCCTCGAGGGAAGTTGTGGCACATCCCTCATCCTCGCACACATCCAGCTGCCAGGTGGTGTCCTGGAAACACGGTAATCTAGACACACCAGCGAATCTTCAAGCTCAACAAACACAGTAATAAGAGATGTTGACTAAGAGATGTTGAACTTCTCACCTTCCTTCCCACCCAGCTGAGTGACTATGGTGTCACAGCACGAGGAACATCACAACCGAGTATTTTCCAGTATTCAAACCGGAGTTTGGGGTTTCAAAGCACCATAACCCAGTATGACCAAAAGAAGTGCAGGAAATTTCTCCTCGGGTTTTGTGTTTGAACATGTGAATGAACCCAGCTGCCATACCACAGCTAACAAAAATAGCTTACTCTTCCCAATGGTCATTGATATCTCGTGTACATAGCCAAGGACTCCCCACCCAATATGCATGGTCACGTGCACAGACACAGCTCCCAGCTCTCTCAAACACGAAGGGAGACACAGCTGGACTGCAAAAGTATCAGGAGAGATTGGTGGAGAAATAGCACTGACTTGCTGACTTTGGGGCAAGGACTGCAAGCAGCCAGGAGCCCTACCAGAGCTGAACTGAAGCCAGTTAAGAGCAGGAAAGACCTCGACTCTGAGCTTGTATTGGGCAATTGCCGGGCCCAGGGAATCACATCAAGGGTCTTGCAGTTGTGGCCTCGGAGCTAGGACAAACTGGGAATCACAAATGGTCTGAAGTTACCTAGAACCAATATTTCCAGTAGAAACGGAGCAACACAGAGAAGGACAGGTAAAATATTTCTTCTCCATGCAACGTCTTTGTAAACGAAACCACCATGAGATTTGGTTACAGCATCCTGCACTGCAGATTAGGGTCTCACGTAGTTTTGATTCCTGCCCTGAAATTAGTTTCTCAAGTCCCTCTTCCTCAGTGAAGATTTTCCTTTTTTGCACCCAATATACCTCTTAATCTGACTCTTCCCTACCAGGATTAGCATTGCCGAGTTAAAACAATGGTTAAAATAAATATTTTCTGAATTTACTTTACAAATAAAGATTTCATAAATAAAACAGGGGATGATTATTACCTCTCCCACGCAGCCTTCCTTCTGCATGTATTTTCGGATAACAGACCAGATTTGGCATTTGCTCAGCAACCTTCCTCCGGTGGCAACTTCAAAACTCTCGTAGGTACCGTACTTCTCCAGGACAGCGTGAATGATCCGAATTGCCTGGCACAAACACAAACAAACTATGAGTCAAAGTGCCCTCTCCGCTATCAAGTGCCTCTTCCACAGCACCAAAAATCTTATGCATAATGAAATCCAATTAAGAGAACCCCTTATAAAGGGCTCAAAAGCCTGTAGCGTCAAGTGTTTGTAAAGCAAGTATTTTTTTCTTTTTTGATTAAAAAAAAATTGGATTTTGATTAAAAAAAAAGATTAAGATCAAGCCTTCCCTAACATCACCATGGTGGATGGGTACCCAGGACAGACAGATACTAAAATAACAGGACCCCCAGTAAACTCTTTCTGCATTTTATTGTTTCACTTATCCTCACAAATGTCTATTGCAGGAGCAAGGCAAAGCAGACCTGGAACAGCAGCACCATGGCACACCGCCCCTAGATGTTAAAGCCAAGATTTACTTCAATCTTTTCTGCTTTCAATTCTTCATTCAGACTTTCGTGTTTGCAGACGATTTATTTCATCCGCATACCCGTTAAAATTGAGCCCTTCTTATTGCAACACTGGGTTTCCTTCAGGAACTCATTTTACAGATATCTGACAGATACACCTTTTGTAGAGATTCAAAAATGTTAAAAAGTGGTTAAAAAGTGGTTAAGATGACTGTGGTAACTCAGGTTTTTCTTCACAGGTGTCTGCTTCAGTGAACCCCTGCAGAAACTGCCCTTTCTACCTAATACTGCAAGTGCTAACACAAGAAAGGGTCGGAACTACACCTGCAATCTTCCCCTTGCATGAGGGACACATAGGTCCTATATACAGCATAGCTTAGATGTAAAGGGAAACACTAACTACTCAGGGATATCCTACTTCAGATAGGGTCTTAACATAACCAGCCTACCAAAATACACTAGTATTTTAACAAAAACAGTGTGCACCAAATTATTAGCATTTATAGAACATTATAAGCGTATATATTTATAAGCATATACAGCGTTTAAGCAGATATACAGTATCTTTACAACATGAGCATTTAATAGCACGTTTTCTCCCCAAGAAGCAAGTCTGCAGCTTAGTCATTTTCAAATAACAGGGTTCTCAGGCCTATTAATATATATCCCCATCTGGACGACTGCTATCACTCTTCTGTACACTCTGCTATTGAGATTTGCAGCCCAGAGCAATAAGCTTCTCCCGAAGAGTGTGTTTTATCCCCTCTTCCTGAGGGAATCCCTTTGCTTTCCTCATCCAGCTTCAGCGGTTCTCCAAGCTCAATCCCTAACAAGCCAGATCTCTTGCAAATGTATGTGCTTATATTATAATGTATACATCTATATTTATATATTTTTATATATTCATAATATATATATTTTAATTATTGCTTATATTCATTTACATTCATTTTATTTTATTTTATTATATTTATTTATATTTATATTTTTTTTATATATATATATTCTCCACTTGGCAGAACCCATGCAGGCGTGGATGGGAGCACACAGGAGGGACACGCTGTTTCCGCAAGGAACTGAACACACCAGACCACATAATTATCAAACTGGCCTTGGCACCATTTCCCACCGCACAGCGGCAGCGGCTTCATTCAAACTCTTATTCCAATTATACAGAGGAGCTCTTTTATCAGACTCTTTTATCGTACACTTAGCTTCCCCTGAACCTTAGGCCACGTACAAAGGGGAAGGCAATTTCATAGCAGACGTGAGAGCCAACCAAGGACCTGTGCGGTCTGGGACCCTCTCCCTGGACATCAGTATCAGAGAAAGACTGGGGAATATCTCCTTAAAGGCAGGTGCAGACTGTTCTTCCTCCACCATGACCAACAGGAAAGCAGCTGACTAGAGCCCCATATAAAGGATTTTACCCCTCCTTTCTGCTCAGGGATGCCCTCGACTGACAAAAATGCTTCCTGTCCCGACAAACATCCGAGTCAGCAAAGCATCATCACCAAGAGCCTCAGCAAAACCCTGTGAGAGGGACACCATGGGTGCTGTAGCCACCACATGTTCCTGCCTTCCCCGCCTGCCCCTCTCACCACTGCCAGCTTGATTCTCGAGTGAATGGTTCTGTCTTTGCAACGGTTTTTCATGCTCTCCTTCTGGAATTGCCTTCCCTCCCTCTGATGTGCGCCACGCGAGACGGGGAATCACAATGTGCTGCAGCACTCGCACCCCGGGCACCCTCCCACAAGCTCAGTTATTTCCAACCACCCCGTGTAAGGCTTCAGTTTTTTGGGGGCCTTTTAAACTCCGTCCCCTTGGAGAAGCTAAATAATTATGGCCGTTTCCAACATTGATCAAAGACGGAGCATTCCTCCCTGTCCTCTTCTGCTCAGTCGCTACGAAACTGTCTCTCCTTCCCAAAGGTCTGAGTTGAACGGAACTCGGCACAGATGGTCTGCAAGAGCAAAATCACAAAAAGGCAAGTTTCTCTCCAACTTTTAGAACAGGCCACAAGAACAACATTTCTAGGTCAGGCTCCTTCCTTATTTTAGAAGGTGATGAAGCTTTGGAGCTTTGCTGCCCAGGCAGTGCCCTCTTGGGTCTCCAGAGTAGGAGCTTATCTGCAGCTCTGCCCACAAACGCACGTAAGTACACCCACAAGGTGATCAGCAATACTCCAGTTACAGGCCAAGCTCCATCGTGATGCTGCTCTCATCTCTGCGAGGGGCTGGGAAGGTGCCAACCAGGCCATGTGTCTGTAGCGGAATGAGCCTTAACGTGGCTGGAAGGAATCTGCTCCCATAATCAAAACCGTCAAGGTTTCTGAGGAGGGAAGGAGGCCGGTTCAGTAAAAGAACTGGTCACTAACTGCAAAATATGAGTCCTGCACTGGGGATCTTCCAAACCCACCTGGATGCGACCGGGTGCCCTGGGTGTCCCTGTTAGTGCAGGGGATTGGACTGGATGATCCCTAGAGGTGCCTTCCAACCTCGGCCATTCTGGGATTCTGTGATGCGAGACAAGCGCGCGGAGCTGATTTTATTTTCCTTTGCGTGCTCTTGTCCAAGGTTGTTAGCTTAGTGAAAACCAACCAACCAACAACCCCACTAAATTATCTATGTTCTGTGACTAACTCAGGCAGCTTATCAATAATGATTGCAGTTCTTAAGGGGGAAAAAAAGGGGAGAGACTGCAAAAATGTTACTGCAGTCTGAGCAAAGGAATACTTACACTAACACTATTAGGCCTCTCTGCTCCTCTATTGTTTAAATGAGCACTTGCCTGTATGTGAAGCCTCCCCATCCACCTTCAAAATAACTTCCTATTCTTCTCCACTTATTTAAGTTAAATATCTCCAAGCAATTCCCAGCCATAACTGGTACATACTGTACATGCACTGCTTTTACCAGAAGGCAGGAAAACTTCTCCCAAGAAACATCAGGCACTCACTGCAGAACTTGTAGAGGTTGGCAGGGATACTTAATACTCCTCTCTCTCTGCTTACAAAAAGACACTGAATAATCTGGATACTAGTTCCTGCAGCCATACAAGAGGCAAGAGCTGATGTATCTGTGGCATACCAAAACGAAAAGAAAGGTTGTTTTAATAACGGAATGTTCAAAAACTGAAATGTAGATCATCAAAGCTGCTGTTCTTTGAAACACTGCAAGTAAGCTCCAAGAGCTGTGCTACTCTGCAAACACAGATTTATTTGTGACAGTTTTTCCATCTTCTTTCTTTGGGGCAACTTAAATTAGTCGCTTTTGCAGAAAGGCAGGCATCAGATGGAGGAACCCCAAGAGAACAGTTTTAAGACAGTGCGGGGCTCCAAAGACCGACCGTTAACAAGGAAGTTGGAGTCTGGGAGTCTCCCACACTGCAGACAGCTGTTGTTGACAGCACGCGCCATCCCCAACTGTCAAAACGACTCTCTAAAAGCTCCAGATCATGATTAGTTGCATGCTCTGTGCATCCATTTTTGCTCTCTGCACTGCTTAATTGCACAGAATTAAACTTAATCCCAGGATGGCTGAGGCTGGAAGGCACCTCTAGGGATCCCCCAGCCCAGCCCCTGCTCCAGCAGGGACACCCAGAGCACGGGGCACCCGCTCCCAGCCCGGCGCGTTGGCACATCCCCAGAGCAGGAGCCTCCGCAGCCTCCCTGGGCAGCCCGGGCCAGGGCTCGGGCACCCTCCCACCAAACAAGTTCTTCCTCACGGGCACACGGAGCTGCCTGCGCTGCAGCTGGCACCCACTGCCCCTTGKCCTGGCACCGGCCACCACCCAGAAGAGCCTGGCCCCTTCCTCCCTGCATTCCCCCTGCAGGTTCTTGTACACGTTGATCAGATCCCCTCTCAGCCTTCTCTTCTCCAGGCTGGACAGGCCCAGCTCACCCAGTCGAGAGATGCTCCAGTCCCTTCCTCATCTTGGTTGCCCTGCGCTGGCCCCTCTCYAGAAGCTCCAGGTCCCTCCTGTCCTGGGGAGCCCAGAGCTGCCCCCAACGCTCCAGGTCTGGCCTCCCCGGAGCGGAGCAGAGGATGTCGCTCCCAAATGAACACAGGAAGGTGCCAGGAGCAAACAGGCAGCGGAAGCAGCTAAGGCGACGCCTAAGTGCTGACAAAGAGCAGTCCAGAGGCAGTCACTATCAGCAGTCACACAAACCTCCCGCAGCCACACACCGAGGCTGCTGCTACACAACACCCTTCTCCTCCGGATCACTTCCCACGCGAGCCGCAGACGGGACGGAAGCCCCTGGCGGCAGGAAGTCCCGCGGGACACGGCGGGGTCCCGAGGGCAGCGCTGCACCCGCGCGCACGGGGCACCCGAGCCGCTCGTCACGGACTGCGACACCCGCGTCACCGGCACACGCCCGGCGGTAACGAAGGACCGCGGCTCGGCACGGCGCTCGGCGGCGAGGCGCTCCTACCTGCGCCACGAAGCGGTCGGAGGCGGCGCGGTACTTGTCGAGCACGGCGCCCGGCAGCGGCTCCGCGTACTCGAACTGCGGGTCGTAGGCGAAGCGCGCGCGGAAGAAGCGCTCCCGCTCGGCCTCCACGTTGCGCGGCCGCAGCGCCACGAGCAGGCAGGGGCTGCGGCGGGCGGGCTCGTCGGCGCGCGGCCGCGCGATGTGCGGCAGCGAGGCGGCGGCGCG